CCTGCCTTCCTGCCTGTCTGCCTGCCCACCCTCCTTCCTTCCTGCCTGCCCGCCCTCCTGCCTGCCTGCCTTCCTGCCTGCCTGTCTGCCTGTCTGCCTCCCTTATATCTTCTTGCTGTCCTTCAGACTGGATAATTTCTACTGATCTACTTTCAGGTTCAAGGAGCCCTGGTGGCGCAATGGTTAAGTGCTTGGCTACAAACCGAAAGGTCGGCAGTTCAAACTCACCAGTGGCTCCTTGGGAGAACAGATCTGGTTATCTGCTCCTGCAAAGATTACGGCCTAGAAGCTTATTGGGAAGTTCGACCTGTTCTGTAAGGTCCCCGTAAGCCGGAACTGACTCAGTGGCACACAGCAGCAACAACAACGTTTTCAAGTTCGCTGACCACTCTTCTTCTGCTATCTCTGATTTGCTGCTAGGACCAGCCAGTGAATTATATTTATTTCATTTATTATAGTTTTTACTTGTAAAACTTGTTTGGTTCTTTTTGATGGTTTCTATTGAAGGACTGACACAATAGTCCCAACAATGGACTCAAACACACCAACAATCGTGAAGATGGCATAGGACCAGGCAATGCTTTGTTCTGTTATACGTAAGGTTGCCATGAGTTAGGGTCAATTCAATGACAACTAACAACATGTCTTTGCTGAGATGACTGTCTTTTTCATCATTGCAAGCATACTTTCTTTTATATCCTTGCACATAGTCAAAATAGTTTCTTTAAAATCCTTGTCTGATGATTCTGACTTCTGGGTCATCTCGGGTTGGCCTACCTTGTTTGTCTTCTGAGTAGGAATCGTATATTTTTGTTACCTGTATGCTGAGACTTTCTTGATTATTTCCTCACATTGCGAATTATATGCTGTTGCAGAGATTCGGAGCCTTGGTGGTGCAGTGGTTAAGAGACTGGCTGCCACCCAAAAGGTCAGCAGTTCAAACCAACCCCGTGGCTCCACAGAAGAAAGGTGTGGCAGTCCGGTTCTGTAAAGATGACAGTCTTGGAGACCCTATGGGGCAGTTCTACTCCATTCTATAGGGTTGCTATGAGTCTGAGCTTTGGGGTGTTCTCTAGCCTGGTGGAAGAAGACGGACACCTGCCGTGAATCAAACACGTAACCAGAACAGTGACCTCAGCACTGAAGTAGCGGTGGAGAAGGCGTGAACCCCGAGGAGGGGCGCTGTGCTTTCAGTCAGCACAGGAAGGAAGACGCTGTGTATTGACAATGAAGTGGCCCCTGCATTCTCTTCATGATGTGATGACACTTGGCTTGGATTTCTAAGCAACATCACCTCTGGTACAAAGGTGCCACATGGGTTCTCACTGCCTTTCTCCAGGACACTGAGGAGCTGCAGACCAACAATGGGATTGCAGATAAATTCACAATTCCTGCTTGTCTTAGCTCTTGCTTATAGTCTTACTGCATAGCTGGTTTAAAAAAAAATTGCCTCAAACTAAATTTTCCAAAGTGTTTTGTCAAAGCTTTTAGTGACCTAGTTTACCTTCAATACAGATGCGGCAAAAAGCGAGAACTAAGACAGACTGTGTGCGGACCGTGTGTTGGACACTATTCCAAAGTTTTCACATGTGCCACTCATTTCATCTACAGCTTTTATGGTCCTCGTCTGACAGATGGAATTCCAGGCACTGAGAGGTGAAGTGACTTGCCTGAGGCCACACAGCTAGCAGGGTGACCCAGGCAGCCTGACTCTGGACCCCCAGACCTTAGACTTCCTGAGGCACTGACTCCGGTGCAGTGGAGACAGAGGTGTAACATCTCAGCCTGTACTGTTTCTGGTTACCACCTCCTTTCGGCTAAGGTGGGTTTGGTTTATTTGCGTTAATTAAGTTGTACATCTCCTCTTATAACATCCTTCCCTAAAGCAGACCTTTCTATTGATGTAAACACAGAAATGTATACCCCTTGTCTTCGTCCAGTTTGTCGCTGTTGCTGTGTGCTGTCCAGTCTGCCCTGGCTCCTAGCGACCCTGTGTACAACAGAATGAAACACTGCCCGGTCCTGCGCCATCCTCACAGTCCTTGTTGTGCTTGAGCCTACTGTTGCAGCCACTGTGTCAATCCATCTTGTTGAGGATCTTCCTCTTTTTCCCCGACCCTCTACTTTACCAAGCATGATGTCCTTCTCCAGGGACTGATTCCTCCTGATCACATGTCCAAAGTATGTGAGACAAAGTCTCGCCATTCTTGCTTCTAAGGAGCATTTTATCCGCTTTAGGGATAAATGAACAAACAAACAAAAAAAAAACAGCTGCTGCCCAGTTGACTCCGACTCATGGTGACCCCATGCGTGTCAGAGTAGAACTGTGCTCTATAGGGTATTCAGTGGTTGATTTTCGAGAGGTAGATCACCAGGATTTTATTCTGAGATGCCTCTGCGTAAATTCGAACCTCCAACCTTTTGGCTAGCAGCTTAGCGCACTCATTATTTGCACCACTCAGGGGCTCCAGGGATAAATAAAGGAAAAGCTTATCTGCAGCTGACATTTCAGTGCCAGAAGGACTGTGGAAGCTTAGTGAATATATTTTCTGATATTAAGTAAATCTCACACAGACTATTCTGGATCTATCATAATGTTCCTGTTGTCTTGGGGGTTGAATTCACAGGGCCGCCTCCACGCATAACTAAAGGTCTACAGTGACGGTGATCATCGTTACAAAGATCACTGAGCAATAATGTAGCAGAAGGAAAATGCCCCCTCACTCTTCTGTGAGATACGAGGTGAGGTCAAAGCCCCCCGTGGAAGCCCTGCGCCCTCCCCGCTCACCGTCTGTGGAGCAGCCGCTGGTCCCGTCACTGGAGCAGTACCGCATCTCGATTCTCTGCCGGCCCACGTCCAGCAGGTTCGGATCAGGCAGGCGGGCTTTGCAGGTGTAGCGGAACCGCTGCTCATAGTGGCCGCCATTGTCGGAGATGTTGACGGGTGTCCAGGGTGTCCAGGGCGTTGTCTTCTTCAGCTCAGGACAGGGGTTGGTGTTGCAGGGCTGGTACTCCTGGGGAGAGAACGAGGGAGCTTGCTTATCATACGACATCCACAGCCTAGTCCCGCCGGGGCCGCCTTCTGTGAGACCTCAGACCTGAGAATCATCAGCTGCTATAAACTTGCACATGCAAGTGGACACAACCCTGTGTCCATCCCGGGATGAATGGATACACAAAATGTGGTCCACCCATACAATGCAATTGTACTCAGCCATGCAGAGACATAAGTCCTGATACATGTCCCAACACGGATGAACCTTGAAAACATTCTGCCGAGTGAAATGAGTCAGTCACAAAAGGACAGACATTGTGTGAAATCTCTAAAATGGGCAAATGCATAGAGACCAAGGCGTATCAGTGGTTACCTGGGGCGGCACGGTGGGCAAAGAGGGAATGATTGCTTAAGGGGTACAGAGTTTGTATTTGGGGTGATGCATTACTTTTGTTTATTTATTTATTTATTCCCATACAAAAATTAATACATACATTGTTATATGACTCTAATTTCTCTCCCCATACTGTGACAGCACACTCCTCCTTTCCACCCGATTCCCCATGTCCATTCAACCAGCTCCTAACCCTCTCTGCCTTCCCATCTGACCTCCGGATAGAAGCTGCCCGTTTAGTTCCTTGTATCTAATTCAGCTAAGAGGCACACTCCTCACGAGTGTCACTTTATGTCCCACAGTCCA